ACCAGCTCTAAAGCTGCACTGAGTATTCTGGCCTTTGCCACGCAGTGTATCATTGATTCAAGATGCTAACATGGGAGAAAAGATTTTCCCAGAAGCTAACAGCAGCATATCATCTCAATAGTTGCTACATTCTGCCTTACCAGCCTTTTTGAACAGAGGCAGAATAACACTGTTCTTCCAATCACTGGAGATGACAACAGTGCACCAGATGGTCTGGAAAAGCCTACGTAGCTATGATAAAAATACTCGCACCTGTCTTCAGCAATTCAGCAGCGATATCACAAACCCCAGGTGCTTTCCCAGACTTCAACTTACGGACTGCAGTCTGTGATATCTGTGCTTTAACTGGCCAGAAAGCTGTGAAAAGAAGGTTGAGGACCATATGTTCTGTTCTGAGGCTGCCCCAACGGGTTACTCCAACATGGGTGGCCACTGTACTTTCACCCAATGCTTAACGGACATTGCAGGGTTTACAAGAGATTGAGTGACTTATCAGTGTCTGATTCCCGGAGCAGAATGCTGGACACTTCATGTTCACATTGGAAGCAAACAGATCTACCAAGGGGAACGTCCCATTTTAGAAATACCTGATCTAATCCTACATCTCAATTTCCACTCATGATTGATGGAGTGCTTTCTGTTTAGGTGAGATGATCTTTCTGGGAACCTGGAAGATGGAAAGCTACAGGAAGTTGATCAGACATAGGATATAAGCATACGGCCTCCCAGTTCAGGACCACTGGGATGGCAGGGGCCCATGCATGGAAACACGGAGGAAGACGCCCTACACACACTCTGGAAAGGATGAACTCTACCATATAAACTCAAGACCGATGACTCCAGGAAGCAGAGATGGGCAGCTGGGGCACCAGAGACAGAGAGCTGGGAAAAAACGGCATAGGACTCAGGGGAAAACTGGAGTGCTGGATCCTGCCTTCTCCCTTGCCTGTTTATATAGTGCATCACTGTTATGCTGTCCATCAGAATTTCAGTAGCGATACTCTGAAGGAGAGGAAGAAAAGCAGTGCAGGCTAGATACTCTGAGCTCTAGCATATTTTTATGCAACGCAGTCCCTGCTTGGGACCACGTGCCCTGGATCTGGAGAGAGTCCAAGGGTGCACCCAGCCCAACTTGGATGCCTCTGTCATTAGGGTGTTTGATGTGGGTAGTTAGTGAAATGAAATACCTTGGCAGACATTTAGAAAGTCTGTACATCAAGGAAGAAATGAAAGTACCTCCTGAGAAATTTCTACAGGGAAATCCATGCTGTGCTGCTCAATTAGTACACCTCGAAAAACCTTAGCAAAACTCAGGGAGGTCGAAGGGAGAACCATGAATAAGTACTAGACACATAAGCAGTAGACAATATATAACCCATAAAGTGGAGGCAGACTCAGTGGGTGAGACTGAAGACAAGATAATATGATTCATTGTGGCAAATCTCTTGAGGAAGATACACCCTTGCTGAACTGGAATCTAAATCACTGTCTAGAAAATGTTCCTTTATACTCCTTCTCAGAAGAGGAATATTGACCGAGAGACCAAAGTGGTGCCTGGAATCCTTCAGTAAGTGCAATGCTTCATCCATTCTGGAGTTTAAAAAAAAAAAAAAGGCCCTCAAAAGGCAAATATTCAACAGTGCTGTGAACTTCTGTAGGAATTCCTGACAACCACAAAAACGTTGTTCTTCTCAGTCACCTCACCATCACCTCATCACAGTGGCCATTGACCAGGCTGCAGCGTCAGAAGCATCCAGAGAGGCCTGCAGAGCTGTCTTTGCCCTAACAGTGAAGTCTCTCCCACAGTAGTAAAACCTTGTCCCATTACATTGTTATATTTAGTCAATAAAGCAGGACAATTGGCTATCTGAAATTGCAAAGAAGCAGATGAATGAACTCCCACATCCCCCCTCCCCCCAGCAGATCCATCGTCTTAGGTTCTTTGTCCTTGAGGTTTCACCTAAACAGATCAGGCAACTTAGATTTTTTGTGAACTGCTGTTACAACCAACAAACCAGGTATCAGGTGCATAAAAAGGTTATTCAAATGCCTCAGATGGTACCTGGTATCTGCAATCTGCCTTCCTGGTCGTGGCCAAGATGGATGCTGGAGCCTGGCATAAATCCTTAGGGGGTTCAAGAATGCCTTTATTAATCAGCACAGCTAACTGACCTTGGGATATCAGGTATAAAACATCAAAGAATTTATGAGCTCTTTCCTTGACACCTTCCAGGTGAATCTTTATTCTTTTAAGGCGATCCTGGAAAGGTGCTGGTGTCCACCATCCTTTCAAGGAGGTCCTAGAAAGCCCTGAAGTTGATATAGTCAATGTATTTGCCCAATGAGAAATTAATGGGATGACTGAGGGTCCCTGGCATGATCACTGGAAGAGCAGACTTTACCCTGGACCTCATGCAACTGAACGAGGAGCTAATGAAAGAGAATCATGGTTCCATGAAGACCAAACAGGCCAGGTTTGCGTCCCATAAGGTAAGGGCTTGTAAGTGCCATACAGGTGGGAACCAGGGAATATGAGACTTTTTTGGAGCATGAGATCTATGACAAGAAGGATTTCCTTCAAGGGCACTCTCAGGTCACTTAGTCAAAGGTGAAAACCCCCTAGGAGAATGACTCTGACTACTATGCAAAGATGAGGATGCAAATGAATAAAATTCTTCTAATGCAGAAGATTCTTGAAGTGTAGAAACTGGAAGACCCTTAGATTTCACATGAAAGATAGCCATCAGTACCAGCAAAGTTGGGCACAGATATTTTTATCTTCAATACCTTAGGTTCTGATGCTGGCAGAGCTCTGCATACTGCAGACAAAGGAGAACCATCCAGCAACGGACTTTGATTCCAAAATAACTAAGGTACACAAGTTATGAAAATACAGTCTCAGCAGGCAAGGGAGGTGGTATCACAAAGGTACCATGACAACCAGTTCCGACGCTAGCGTCCCAGAAGTGGTCATGTCTGTATATGGTACCGAGGAAGTGATGGTCCCCAAAAGTACAGGATGTGGCACTGAGGCTAAGGTATATGATTCCCTAGACTTAGACTCACAGTACTGATGTGATTTCATAGAAGCCTGGTTATAGAAGGCTTATGAAGACTGTCTTCTTGGCCAACACTGAGGATGGTGATTGATGCTGGGATGTGCCTGGAGATCTTTGTTCCTTCCTCTCTTGTGTAACAGGAGACACTGACTGACCTGAAGAGGGCTGATGAAACTCAGTGTTTGCTAACAGCATGAGGGCACTTAGAGCCAGAAGACTTCTTATACCCCAGGGTGGCATCTCTTGTAGCCAGGGCACTTGTTGAAAATGTTTTCAAAGCAAGAGACCACTGCTGAGGGTGTACCACAGAGTCAGACACACTCCACATAGATTTTTTTCCATCAGGAACAATTTCGAATGAGCATCAGGAATCCTCTGAACACTTGGAAAAAAAAATTACAGATGGCACAGGGAAAGAGATGTGAACCTCCCCTAAACAAAACGCACACTTTGACTTTGCATCGTTAGCAGGCTCAGCAGTCTTGCAGGCAAGGAAGATTTTAAAGCCTGGAGACCTGCTCATCACCATCAGACCTAGTCCTAGTACCGAGGTGTAAACAATAAGAAAATATTTTTGTTTTTTATATAAACCAATGACCAAATATAACTTATCTGAAGCTAACCTACTAGACTAAATAATGCTAAAAAAACCCCATAACTAGCTATACTACAGGGTAACCAGGAGGACACTGAGGCTCCAACTTGCTACCATGGGCAGTGAGAAGAACTGAGTGTCAGTTGGGGGTGCTCTGCCTTTTATACCCTCGCTGTGGAGGGCGTGAGGGGATACAGGGTGCATGTGTAGCCTCAAGAGACACTGCTGGAAAAAGATTGTTCTCTGGACTTTAGCGTATGGATATTATGCTGGCATAACCACATGGTATATACCACATATATGACTGTGACATTCTCCTCAGGGAACCCAGAACTGTAAGTCACTGGGTCACCCGTCCGCCTCAGCAAGTGAGAGCTTTGCTGCTACTAAACTGTATGTCACTCCAGACTGTACGCCTTGCTAGCAAACTCCTCGAGTCAGTCAAAACCTTGCCTTGCAAATAACAACCAGCAAACCCAGTTACCGAGTTCCCCAGAGACATCTCCCTGCAGTGTCCAGTCCTTCTCACTGGATACCCACAGATAAAGTTTTCTGCCTCCAAAGAGACAGAGCACACACCAGCCTGTTAGTTTAGCTGAGGACTCCCACTTTACTTCAATAGAACATCAAGAAGGTTTTGTAATAAAACAAGAATAAGTATAGTAATAAAGAAACAGATTTAAGTGATATCAGGCAAGAATACAAGAGATAGAAAAGGGTTACAAACAAAAACAACATGTTTTCTAGTGCCTAAAACTTAATTCTAGCAAGCTATATCTTTCCCTAAAAGAGTTTCACACTTACAGCAAGCCAGTAGCAGCTCCTGCCCTACAGGCCAAGAGGATCCACCATTCACAGGCTCAAAGGGTGCTCTGTTCCCTATGTCCCCTAAGTGATCAATAACTCAGGGGTTCCCTCAAAGGTTCACTGGACTATAAAAAGAAGGGAAATATATTCCTGTGAAGTATGTCCCCAGATAAAGTTTTTCTCCCCTGCTGCTTGTGAAGACACCATGCTGTCTCCCTACTCCTCTGGTCCATTTGCTTCTCCAGTTGGTTTAATTACTTTGGGCTTGTCTAAACTTACCAGGGGATCGACGTGCAGCGATCGATGCATCGGTGGTTGATTTAGTGACCACAGATCACTCTCTCGTCAACTCCAGTACTCCACCGGATCGAGAAGAGTGCGGGAGTCAACGGGAGAGCATCTCCTGTTGACATTGCATAATGTGGACCCCGCGGTAAGTAAATCTAAGCTACGTTGATTTGAGTTACGCTAGTCACATAACTCAAATTGCGTAGCTTAGATCAAATTTCCCCTCTAGCGTAGACAAGGCCTTTGTTTACCTTACATGTAAATGTGCTTCCACGATCTGTTGCCTCCCCTTGCTCAATCTGCATTGGAGAGACAGGCAATGGGTAAAACAACATTCCTTTGTCTAGGGCAGACTTATGTGTCCACTAGCTCCAAAACATACTTTACATTTCTAGCACACATACAAAATTCTTTATACATAACCTGTACATACACCCATGATGATATTAATGATCCGTGTGACAACAGTTTTATAGGATACCATACAAGATACTGTTTTGCTAGATATTCTGTTTTGCTAGATACACCATTCTGAAAATGGTGGGTTGAATGTGCTGGCATAAAAGGGTTCATGCCCTTGATAGAGCAACACATGGAAGTAGACGTGTCTGAAATCGAGGGTGGTGTAACTGTCTCCAGGTTCCAAAAAGGGAAAAACAGACGCGCGAGTGACCATGTGAAATTTTTTTGAGATAGTTGTGGAGCTGACACAGGTCTAACTTAGGTCTGAGACTCCCCTTTGCTTTTGGGATTAGGAAATAATGGGAGCAGAAACCCTTCCTCTTACATTCTGTGGAACCTCCTCTATGGTTCCCACGTGAGGGGAGAGACTGAACCTGTTGGACCACAAGATCTTCGTGAAAGGGGTAGAAATAAACTGGCGGGTGTATCCCTCTTCTTAGTACTCAACACTCAACGGCCTGTGGTGACATGGGACCAAGCACTGAGGAAATGGGAAAGGTGTTTGCAAACAAAGAAAAAGCAGAGTCTGGCATTCTTGGAACTGGTATGGCACCCTTTGAGTGAACTTAATAACACTACATTATTTACAATAAAATACAAGAGAACACAGTCACATAGTATTTGCAGAAGCAAGAGTAGCAGTTCCAGGGACCATCACAGGCAGCAAGAAGGAACTGAGGGGGACTCAGGGTTGGCTGGCCCTTTATACTGGTACCAGTGCTGCATGGTAAGAAGAGTGTGCTCAAGCAGCCCCGTCAGGTACCATCGAGGGGAACATTTCTGCTGATTGCGTGCAGGGTGCATGCACACCGAGAGTGGAATGCACATGTGCAATCACTCAAAGAAGAACTTTCAAATGTACTTGACAAATGTAAAGGGAAATTTTAACTTGCCTTTTTTTTGTATGTTCTGTTCTTATTCTCCAACCAATCATCCATCTGTTCCTCAATCTCTTCAATAGAAGCTCCATGATCATATGATGGTATATATGCATTGGATTCTGAAGCAGTGTATATAGGGAATTCAGACTTTGGTTTCTTGACTTTAGGTTTCTTCTCCTCTACAAAAATAAAGAGAAATGATCATGATTTAGAGGTGTTCTTAGCCACTCCATGGTTAAAGTTGAGTTGAGCTTTTCAGTTCAAAAGGGGATTCAATTTTTTTTTTTTATTAGGGAGAAGGAAGACAAATGTTTGTCATAACCAAAACTGCACAGCACAATGTTTTATTCTTCTACAAAGAAACAAGTAAATACACATTGGGCTAGATCCTTAGACTCACTTCGAGCAGCAGCTAGAAAGTTGCCCTAAATGGATAGCTGGCGTTTCCCCCGGTGGTGTAAAGTCAGCACTACACCATCCAATACCCTTGCCTCGTGTAGAGGACATGTCAAGACAGGACCAGATGACCTCAGGAATGGATGAGGCAGAAAGATCTCAAAAGTCACTTTTGCTTTCCCCCTTTCCTCAAATGTGCTGAACAAAGTATATGTTTTTGAGCTCATGTCTAGTTCCTCCCACCCCTTAGATTCTTCTTATTTACAAATATCTTTGTTTTAACATTTGGAAGTTTAGGCAGATCTAGATCTCAGGCCTTATTTTCAGAGGTGCTGAGCATCTTCAGACTCAGTTGGCCTTCAAATGGGATTATATGCTCAGCCTCTCTGAAAAACAGACCCACAAAACATCTCAAAAGCAGACCCTTGCAATTCTGAATTTCAGAAACCCTGTGGTGTAAACTCCCCAAAACAGCAGAGAAACCAACTACCATATACCGCCAGAGTGTGACTTGGTAGTTACTCAAACTCTAAGTAAATTGAGTTCCCAACTGAGAAAACTGACAGCTGGTTAGTCCTGGGAAGCCTAAGGCTACTCAGTTTGGTGACCACTGAACTGGAGTTATAAATCACCTCTTTAATATCAGGATTTAGACCAAGGAACTATCCATGGTCACAGGGACATCCCTTACCATGAGGATGATCTACATGTATACTACTGGTTCAATGAAAAATCACCTTTAAGTCTACAAATAAAGCTGCACTTTGGAATTGTGTTCTATCTTTCTTCTGGTATCCTTGTAACAAGTTAGGTTGCTAGGAAAACCACATGAATTTAAATGGAGAAATCAGAAAATTCAAATGTTAAAATATTTACAGCTCTGTAAGTAAAAAACAGCTACATATAATTATATAAATAATAGAAAAACTTTCTTTAAACCACATTTTTACAAACATCTACTTCATGGAGGATTTAATAATTATATTTGACACTTAAACATGAAGTGAGGTGAAAAAAGGTTTAAAATATAGTGAGAAGTGCTAACAGGAACCATGCACAGGTGTCAATAGAATAAGCTAAAATTCTGCACAGAGATTTCCCTGGTAGGATAATATTTACTTATCAAGAAATTACCTTTTCACACTTTGTATCTTCTCTAGCAATGCTGCATGTTAATGAGACCTCCATGCTGCATTCTCTCCTATTTGCAAGTTATATGGAATTCCCCCTTGCACTGGTTCTAGTTTGAGCCCCCAGAGAATATTACACAATTTCAGCAGTAAAGCAGATAGACATGAGGGTAAATTAGCAATTAGATCATGAAAAACAGGCAGCATAAAACAGCTATTGCTAATCTGCATGAGATGCATTTACTCAATTAGGTTGATGGAAATGTTATTATGAACTCAGTAGTCCACTGACGGTCTTTAAAATTAAGAAGGAAAGGGACAATTGAAATGCACATTTGGGGATTTTACTACCTTTATGTACTAATGCTGAAGTATACAGTGAACTTAACTTTAAAAGATTTTTTGTTTTGCATGTAACCATTGGAGAATTCGTATTACGTAACATTCTGACTTTAGTAACACACTGGATATGTCTATGCTCTGTAATGTTGTGTGTCTATACTCTTGAATGTTGTAAACCTTCAACACATTCATTTTTAAAATATAAGATGGACAACACATGGTTAGCCAGTAACAGCTCTGTTCAGTATCATTGGCCCAATTAAGGTTGTGTCAAAATTCCACCACAAACTCTACTAATCACAGTTTCATAACTAATATCCTTGCCTCTCTCTGCACTCAGTACTCAGGAGAAAAATGCTGAAAAAAGTTTATTCGCCATTTTTAAAATAATATAAACACAGGATCGCTAACCACTATAATTTTAATGTTTTCTTACTTGAATTTGCCCTTCTAGCACCATAAACTAGTCCTTTTAAACAAAACAGTAAAAGTAGTTAATTGATATGCTCTAGGTCACCATTCAAATGAAACAAAATGATAATACATTCTAATATCATAAAGTTACTGATAAACACTGATTGCAGTGTTCACATTTTCATACTACAATTTGCTACATGAAGTACAAAGCTGGTCCACTTTGTGACTGGCACCCTATATCTACTGAACAGCAGAATAATCTTTGCACTCCAGGCTTTGGGGAGATGGTAACAAATTATGCTGAATCATCTCTGCTGATTTTAGAAAACTCAGACCATGGGCAAATGAGACTGTAGTACAAATTTCTAAGGGTTTTCCCTATGTGTACTCTATGCCCCACAATGGTTGCTAGCTTTTAGTACACATGCCAAAATACAAAACTGTATAGAGAAGCGTTATACTCAATTCAAACACATACACATTTTAGCTTCTTCTGAAAACAAGTTTTAAAAGTTTGGTTATGATCAAAAAAGGAATTAGAAAAGGGAATATCATCCAGTCTCCATATTAAAATATGCATGCTAGTTATTTATTGCTTTCACTTTGTATTTAAAGAGCAGAGGGATCTAGTACCCTAAGGTTCCAATTTCAACAGTGTCACAACTCTGCACCCAACGTTTGCATCTACATTTTCATAGGTGCAAGTAACTGTGGGTGCATTTTATAGTACACAGAAATCAACCACATAAGCACTATAAACTATACCTGCAATTATATGCAGACACAATAATACACACAGGCTCACAACCTGAGGCCACTTCTGAAAACATACCTTAACATAAACAAAGTCTTTACTTTTGAGTTTCTTTGCCTATACTGTTAAACAACATTTCTTTCAATTTACATTTTATTAGATACAATATTTTTAATAAACCTATAACAAAATTATCAAACTCAGAAGTATTTTTGATACAACAGCAAAACTATTTGCCAAATTAATGTAATTCAGCGCACAAATATTTGATTCTGATTAATCACATAGTTATGTTCATACATGGACATAACTGTATCCAATTTAAATGAGAGCACAGGTTAAGTGAAATTCAGAAGTCATATCACAGAAGACACTCACTAGACAGACAGCAAAAATAACTTGCAAAATAAATTTCAGAACAATGAAAGCATATTTTCCCATTCATCTTCTACAGTAGGTATCTTATAATAAATTACATTGATTGTGTATTAAGACAGTATTAAAAACTCACTCTGAAGTGTTTCAAGTTCAGCTCTAGCCAGGGCATCTTCTCTCGCCTTCATTTTTGTTTCTTTATATTCTACGTATAATTGTCTGGCATCCTTTAAGAAAATGTTGCAATGACATTAGCATCCTTTATATAAACAAGTTTGTTGCAACGGCACTGTTTTAAATCATTTCACTTTAAATTCTTTAAAAAAAGCAAATGAAATATATTCACTCATTCCACTTGAGACAGCAATTTTCAAGTGACAGGAATGACTTGCCTTGAACATAGAATTTCTGTGTTAATTCCATATTTGATAATGCTGAGGTTAAAGTTTACTATACACAATTTAAAAAGAAACAAAGAAGAAAAAACACCTTTAGAAGGGTATTTTAATGGTCCTATACTTGAGAAGCCAATGCATCCCTAATTAGCTCTTTACGGGGCCATGCACCCATTTTGCTCACCCCAACAATCTGGAAGTTCAAGTAGCAAGAAGTTCATCACTACGCAGATATCTGAAAATAATTTTTTAATTAAAGCTGCCGTTTCTTTTTCTACTGCAGAGCAGTGGACATCTTGCTATAAAATCATTTATGACGTCAGCAAAGGTGAGATCCAATATACAAGACCTTACCAAAAAATCCTTTTTAATAATACTTTAAAAATTATGAAAAAGGCATCAACAGTTAAGCATAAATATCAAACATTAAACATTTTTTATGGTTTTCACTAGACCTACTGATAGAAACCAGTTTATCAGATTTCATTAGAAAGTCATAGCACTTTTAAGAATAAGATTTGTGACAAGACAGCTATGGGCAGAAATATCCTCAGAAATAATAATCTTCTAATAGATTTAAATTAATTCATGATGAGAAAGGCTGTCTATTTTAGCTTTTAAGATTTCTGGGTTGAGATAAGCAAGGGAGAGTTTTCCTAAAATGATGGCCAGTTAATGGAATTAAAGTTGCACTCCTATTTATGCACTCAACAAGGACTAAAATACATAAGTGTTGAAATGGAAGTTGTTGCAACTGCATTTATTAACCTTAGACGTGCACAACATTCCTTCTATCACATCAAAATTAATTACAGTAAGTAAACTTAATTTTATTTGGGTTATTGCCTTAAGTAACAATTATACCTTTATTAACCTATTAATACCAAAATGAACTAATTACTTCTTCCTTTATACATTAGCAATCAGTTTTTCAGTTTCTTTTTGTAAACATTCTCACTATTTGATTTTGGCTATTTCTGTACCAGGAAATATTTTTAAAATATTTTTTAAAGTTTATTTGCATTGTGACGGCATAGACTTGATCAGAAAACAATTGTTTTATTAGCAATAAAAACAATTTTAATAAAATAACTATTAAAAACTGTGTTAAGCAGTCATTTTCTGTTTGCACCCTACATTCCCACTGTAGGCAGCTATACAAAAAAAATGTTATCCACCACACAGATGCTACATGCAATAAATTATTATTATATGCATTGTGTTAGCACCAAGAGGCCCCAACCCATCAATCAAACTTACATACTGTACACACACATACTGGAAAGATGGTCCGTGCGCCAAAGAGTTTACAATCTTGGGTCATGATTAAAAAAACAACCCACCCAAAATATTTTTTTAAAAAACCCTTATGCTTGTCTTTTATTCACTTTGAGGAATCCCCATTATAGGAAATGGGGCTACTCAGAGGGCTGGATTCTCATCTGCATTGCAGTTTAGACACTTACGTTTTGGGGCTATCCAGCCCTGATACGTGTGAGAGCTGCTGCAGAGTGAGGGGGAAATCAGGAACAAGATGACTATGTCACCCCTGCCAGTTTTATGCCAGAAAAGATATTTCCCCCGTGCAGCGGATATACTCCACTGGGTATTTCCCTTTTTCATTAGGTGGACACAGTGTACCAGAGAATGTGGTCTGCACAATTTAAGCACATGCTTCAATCTTCATAGGATAAGGGCCTGTACATGTGTGTATGCATGTGATACAGGCTGGCTATCATTTACAGCAGGCATCTTGAACAAGACAGCAACTCCTTTAAAAGAGTAAAGGGACTTCCTAATTTTTCAGTGATTTGGTGTAGAAAATAGGATCTATACTGTTTTCATCTCTTCAGTTAAAACTGAAATTTGGAATCCACACTTACACACAAGAAGTTTTCCTTGTTTTTATGTGGTTATTTATACCTTTAACCAGAATAATCATTAAAAATAAAACTCTTAATCTTCCTCTGCTATGAATTTTGGAGAAATTCAGATTACATTGAATACATAGATTTTTGGCTTACAAATATCCCAAAGATGCTTTTGTTTAAAGCTATGATTTTAAAGAGGATACAGTCATCCCACATTTCTGATTTAGCACTGAAAACCAATATTTGATGCTAAATTCTAGTGCAAAATCCATTATTGCTTGTGGGACCCCCAGACAGCAGGCACTAGGGGGTAACTGTCAATCTCTCTAGTGTGTCAATCATGGAACAATTGGAACAGCGGCTCAGATGAAAATGAGAGACAAGAGCGGAAAAACAAAGAAAACTAGTCAGAAGCAGATAAAGCAACAGTAATACTAAATTTGAAGTATCTATATAAAGTGGGTAAGTTAAAGTTAAAGCATTGCTCAGGTTAAAAGATATCAAACAAGTACTGGACTGTATGTATATTATTTCATTGAATACCATTTATTTTTGTATGATCAGAATATCAGTCTTAATGTGAAGAACAAACACTATGGCGGCACATCTTGTAAAAAAAAGAACATGCATAGATCTGTGCAAAAAGACAAATCAGAAAAGTAACTCATTTAAAATATTTATAGGGCTACTTCTGCCCTCAAACGTGAGCATTTGGCTCTCCAGGTTCAATAAGAGCTAAAAAGATGCTTCTGAGGGCAGAATTTGCCTATATATGTCTATACAGCTATATCTGTATATAGATGGCCCAAAAAAGTTAGTGAAATTGAAAATGAAACAGGAAAATAAGTAGATTTACAAAAAGGTTTAGAAATAGGGAGACTCACTAGGAAAAAACTTAAAAGGGAGAACAAATTATACCAAGTAATTTACTTAAACCAGTAACTGTTACTACAACTTTGTAATCATATCAGACACTTATGTTTGAATATAAGCTCTCTCCCTCACCAACATATTTTTGCTACTGCCCAATCCTGCAGTTAACTTAGTGCCATATTCCTTTAGTTATGGTTGAAATGTCATTTCCACCATCAATCCTCATGTTTAGGCTCTTAGTTTTTCAAGATGTTTTGGGGTTCAATTTTATCATACTATGATCATTTTCAGGCCAAACTGACGGGGATTATTCTACAAAATTCTGAAAATATAAATATAAAAAAAATACCATTTGCCTACCCTCCAATTTGGACAAGTCAGACTTCTAAGCACGTTTTTGACCAGATACTTTCTTTCGCATTCAAGTAGTTCAAAATATATCTACATCTACATTTCATTCTTGGTATGTGCTCAGTCCTCACAAAGAATTAAAGAGAAGCCTAAGCAACAAAATTTGGATCTGGATCGAAGCCCAAATTTCCAAAGAAAAACAAGCAGTTTGGAAATGTTCTGCCTAATGGGAACAGTTTGGGTACACCTTAATAGGAACAAGTGTTTTCCTCCTGTTTGAAGGAATTTGCTTGAGAAATAGAAGCATTTGAAAAGAATACCAAGATAGTTATATATTACACTTTCCTTAACTATGTATCAAAGTTGTGACATGTAGGCTCCCAGCTATGCTGTGTGTGTTTGTACTCCTGTATAAACACAGGTACAGTTTTACAGATATATACATAGCAACTTTAATTTGATTGGCTGATTTTTCAAACAACTGTATTAAAGAAAAAAGTTATTAGACCATTAATCTGTCAGTTTTACGTTTTAAAAATCCAAGAAACTTCAAGGCAAAAATAGTTTAATGTAATATAATGGTCCACGTTTTATCACACAGAAGCATGGATATATGAAGTTAGGGTTTTCACAGCTCTGCCACACAATATACAGTGTTGCCAGCTATCAATAAATTTACAGATCGGATGAATGGAACCATCCTTTATAAAATGTGCTCAGTGCTATGGTGCCAGATACTATAAAAGCTCTTGATAGAGAAGGGCAACAAAATTAATCCTCACTTAAGGTTTTTTTTTGTTTTGCTTTTTTTTTTAAATAAAGGAAAACTACCATTTTGTTTACAGTGGAGTTTTTTTGATGCTGGGATTAATATAGGGAATTGGGGATTTCAATCAGTTGTTTTGACCAATCTTTGCTGTTCTGGTTCTCTTCATCTAGCCCTCGTTGATCTCCCCTCATTTCCCTCACAAGGAGGGCAGACCAGAGAAAACACCACAAGGGCTGGAAAAGGGGAGACTCACCTCATGGAACCAGGTGTGATTCCAGGCACATTCCACGATAAAATCAGATTCTCATTTGCTCTGGTCCCGTATAAGTGGACCCGGCCCTTTTTTTAAAATTTAAGGATGATAGGTCTGAAAATACTGTCAGTCCAGCACTCCCCCACTCTCACAGACTAGCAACCCAACTGGACATATGTAATTAAACCATTAAACTGTGTTTTCTGTATATCAATATTGTTGTTAACCAAATATGCAAATTGTAAAGGAAGTGTAATATTTATGTATAGTACCTTAAATGGTCATCTCCATATTTTTGGATGGTTAGAGTTATTTGGTTTTTTAATTGTAATATTCTTATGTAGTTTGTATGAGAGTTATAAACAATCCCAGAAACAATCCTAAGTATAATACTTAATTTTTTGTGTGAGAGGCTATGAAAAAAGGGTCAAGTTAGAGCTACTTGAAAAAAACAACCTTGGATTTGCCCATTTTTGTATAATTACCACCACCAACCATCATGTGGCAAAAACGCTCTTTCATTGCATTAAATAATCCTGACATCAGTGTGTTGTCAGGATAACAAACGGGATGTCAAAAATTTAGATCTACATGATCAAAAACGAGAAAACGAGCTAACTCAGGCCAAACTTACATCAGTATAACTACGTCGCCCAGGGTATAAAAAAATCCACACCCCCGAGCATTATAATTATACTGACCTAACCCCCAGTAG